CTAAATTTTGACTGATGACGTACATCAAGATGATTGCTCCACACGGAAAAAAATGTTCCAAACTTGAACTCGTGTTCTAGCAATTTTGTGAATTTTCATCAGTAAACTTGTTCATAATATCGAAATCTTTCAAAAAATAATTCTGTCAAATTCATGCACCTGATATAACACAGCTGTATCAGTGCTGAATAGGTGCAGCAACACAATGGCAGTGCCAGTTGCAGGATAAACTGATATATCCGATGTCGTTAGACTTAAGTTAGTTTACATAACAAAACATTAGATTCACTTTACGAAGGTATAGAATTATGACAAATATTGTACAAAAGACACACAGGTGAATAGCGCCTTTTAATATAAATAGATTTATTGTCAAACATGTGATTTTCCACAAAATCATTATTAACGCCCAAATAGCGCACGAGATTACCTTGTTTGTCAATGTCGTCTAATCGGCCTCCACACCTGGAAACCATTAAAAATATATTGTGTGATTAATTATGGCATTTTTAGGTGTTTCTGAAATTGTAAGTTTTGCAAATTGATTGTGTAGTCTTTATGACAATTTCATTAGTCACTGATGTAGATTAATGTAAACAGACATTATACAGGACACAGTAGTAGTACATCAGTCACTGATGTAGATTGATGTAAACAGACGTTATACCCTCACACAGTAGTAGTACATCAGTCACTGATGTAGATTGATGTAAACAGACGTTATAAACGCTCACAGTGGTAGTACATCAGTCACTGATGTAGATTAATGTAAACAGACGTTATACACGGTCACAGTAGTAGTACATCAGTCACTGATGTAGATTAATGTAAACAGACGTTATACACGGTCACAGTAGTAGTACATCAGTCACTGATGTAGATTGATGTAAACAGACGTTATACACTGTCACAGTAGTAGTACATCAGTCACTGATGTAGATTAATTTAAACAGACGTTATAAACGGTCACAGTGGTAGTACATCAGTCACTGATGTAGATTAATGTAAACAGACGTTATACACGGTCACAGTAGTAGTACATCAGTCACTGATGTAGATTAATGTAAACAGACGTTATACACGGTCACAGTAGTAGTACATCAGTCACTGATGTAGATTGATGTAAACAGACGTTATAAACGGTCACAGTGGTAGTACATCAGTCACTGATGTAGATTAATGTAAACAGACGTTATACACGGTCACAGTAGTAGTACATCAGTCACTGATGTAGATTAATGTAAACAGACGTTATACACGGTCACAGTAGTAGTACATCAGTCACTGATGTAGATTAATGTAAACAGACGTTATACACGGTCACAGTGGTAGTACATCAGTCACTGATGTAGATTGATGTAAACAGACGTTATACACGGTCACAGTAGTAGTACATCAGTCACTGATGTAGATTAATGTAAACAGACGTTATACACGGTCACAGTAGTAGTACATCAGTCACTGATGTAGATTGATGTAAACAGACGTTATAAACGCTCACATTGGTAGTACATCAGTCACTGATGTAGATTAATTTAAACAGACGTTATACACGGTCACAGTAGTAGTACATCAGTCACTGATGTAGATTAATGTAAACAGACGTTATACACGGTCACAGTAGTAGTACATCAGTCACTGATGTAGATTAATGTAAACAGACGTTATACACTGTCACAGTGGTAGTACATCAGTCACTGATGTAGATTAATGTAAACAGACGTTATACACGGTCACAGTGGTAGTACATCAGTCACTGATGTAGATTGATGTAAACAGACGTTATACCCTCACACAGTGGTAGTACATCAGTCACTGATGGTAGTACATCAGTCACTGATGTAGATTAATGTAAACAGACGTTATACACGGTCACAGTAGTAGTACATCAGTCACTGATGTAGATTGATGTAAACAGACGTTATAAACGGTCACAGTAGTAGTACATCAGTCACTGATGTAGATTGATGTAAACAGACGTTATACCCTCACACAGTAGTAGTACATCAGTCACTGATGTAGATTGATGTAAACAGACGTTATAAACGGTCACAGTGGTAGTACATAAGTCACTGATGTAAATTAATGTAAACAGACGTTATACACTGTCACAGTGGTAGTACATCCATGCATTGTTGCGGATTAGATATTAACGGGCGTCATAAACAGCCACAACTGCGTTGCATCTGTGCAGTATTGAAGATTGATATCAACAGACGTCATCATAAACGGTCACAGTGACTGCGCATGATTGATCAATGAAGATTAATGTGACTATATATATCAGTGCAGTAATGAAGAAAACTTCCTAGTAGTAAGGACTTGCACTGATGTAGGAAAAGTGCATATCCCGATCCCCAGACGATAATATCGTGAAGCATAAAAAACTTTAGTGAAATGTCGCGTCATATAGATGTGCTGTATTGTACAGTCATCAAAATTGATTATATCTATTATATATATTAATGATATTCTCATTATATTACATTTTCCGGGGTTTACCAAACACCAGCTCATTTTTTTCTCTGTTTTGATATATATTTCTTGTTGTTTACATCGTCACTACATTGCTAATAATTTTAAAGTATCTCCAGAAGATAGCATAGTACAGTATTTAATATCACGGAAATACTCACTTATAAACAATCGCTCCCGTAACCTCAAAAAGGAAGTTATATAGATACATAAAGTACATGTGTCCTGAAATGTCACCTATTTCATAGAAACATCTCGCCCAATATTTCTGTTTGTTTACAGAACCTCACTCGAACATCACAGTCGTAATGTTTGCATGAAATATATACTGAGAGGAAAAAGAAACGCAATTAGCAGAAAGTTCATATTGTAAATTAAATCTTTGACGTACACCCTTGAAACTTGACAAATGTGTGCATTTAAGTTAGGTCCCTATGGTAAAGTATTAAAATCACTGATGCATAACTAAATTGCGCACGCCGCTTGTACAAAAGAATAAGAGACAAAAGCACGATATCTCGAACCCAGTATAAAGGATTGGTTCAAAAATTCTTCAGACATATCCGTCTTGATTTCTCACATTTTAAACATAAACAGTTCAACGTAAAAATGCCACGACTGTCCGAAGTTGACAGGGGTCGTGCCATTGCACATCTTATGCAAGGTACCCCGCAAAATCAGGTCGCTTATCAATTTGGAGTCCATCCATTGAACATTTGCCGTCTCATCCAAAGACTACATGCCACCGGAAGGGTTGCAGACCGTCCTCGAAGCGGTCGCCCTCGTGTGACGACGCGTCGGCAGGATAGGGCAATGCGACTTTCGCACCTACGCAATCGCTTTCTGACGGCCACGGAAACAGCAAGGAACACAATTGGGCGTCATCATGTTCCAATTTATCCAAAGACAGTGCGTACTCGACTGCATGCCTTCGGTCTAAGACCGCGACGGCCATATGTTGGACCACAGCTTAATGCGCGTCGACGTGCCAGACGAATGCAATGACTGAACGCACATTCCGTAAGACGCTTCCCAATGCACATTGGAGAAGGGTCCTGTTCTCAAATTAGTCCAGGTTTTCGCTTTACCGGGCAGACGGCCGACGCCGTGTCTATAGACGTATCCACGAGCGCTATGCAGATGCTTGCGTGATAGAGAATGACCGCTTTGGAGGAGGATCAGTCATTGTATGGGAAGGGATTGCGCATGGTATCAAGACTCCTCTGGTCGTTATTCAGGGAAATCACGCGGCTGTCCACTATTGAGATCAAGTCCTAGCGCCGCATGTTGTTCCTCTAGTTTGCCGTGGTTATCTCGCAGGGGGGCACACGGTATTGATGGGTCCAGAACGCACTTTATTTTGAGTGGGGTACTCTTAAATCAACGTCAAATTTGATAGGTTTACTTAACGTACACGAATGAAATTCTCGTAGATGACAGAGTAGTCAACTATCTTCCAGTTACACCATTATTACATTCTAAACACTTTTCTATTTCCCGTAGTTGACTTGGAAATTCCTAATTGCGTTTCTTTTTCCTCCTCTCAGTATATGTTAACACGGTATGTCTTACTGTTTACTGAACATAATATTAATTTTTATATCAATGTTCCATATTAACATAGAACATTTCATATTAATCATTATTCATATTGTTTACTGACGAGCTAATCAACATTAAATTCATTTTTAATTATTGAACAATAGATCTACATTGTAAACTGAAATCATATATATATATGCACGATGAGAGTAAATGTTAATTCTGTTTTGCACGACAGTTGTGTGTGAAGGTGACAAATACAGTAACACTGCAGCAGTTTCCAGCGTGTCTATATCTAATATGTACGTACGTTTTAATGTATATACATGTATTAAGCTATTTGCTTGCACGGTCCCAATGAGTTACAACACGTGGTGTTTTAATTCAGTGAGTGGGTTTAATTTCCCTTCGTCATGCTGGCACGGCGGGAATCGCACCTATAATTCCTGACAGCGAAGGTAGGAGAGGTACTCAGTGACAGGCTCTTCAACAGACAGGTAATTACTATGTGTGTACAGTAGAGTAGCTTTCATCCATCTTTAATCTACTGCCTTGTACTATTTGTCCTGTGTGGCAAAAATATATATCTTTGGAAATTTTATTGAATTTTCTTTTCTTCAAAGTTTTAAATCATTCTGACAATATTTGATAATGTATTTTATAATTAATCTTAAATTAAATTCATATTATATTATGATTTATGTGAATATAAAATTGTTGTTGGAAGACAGTCGCTATGTAATCGTTATTTTGTACTTCCAAACGATTAGAAGTACGCTACTTAATATAGCTCACGGTTACTGATAGTACAGTTTAACAATAATAATAACGCTTTCCCGTCACACAGGTAGTCCAGGTGTATCGGAAGTATTGTTTACCTGGATAAGATTCTGCGAGTATACAGATAAATTGTGATTTTTCTTTCAAGTTTCGAGCTCCGGACAACACATCGACTTGTGACAGGGAGCAGACGACACTTGTAGGAAAAACCTCACATCATACTACATCCGGCAGAAAAATGTCACTATTGACCAAGACATCAGGTAAGTGAGAATTCAGTCTCCTATTAAATGTGATTATGTGGCTGATTGATTTATTGTGACGAAAATTAACAAAATCTATTGAAACAGAGACAAACAAAACATTCATCACGTTCAACTAAAAACTCCATGGAAGCTGCATCTGCACCCACCCATAATAACAATCTTCACATTTTTTTCCTCTCCAAATTGAAATTTCTAAATCATTTCTCGTATTACTTTCTATCATTATCTGGTCGTGTTACGTAGTCTCGTTTGATATTGTGTGCACACCTGAGTTATCATTGATTTGTGAAAGTCATGCTGCTAGCCCGTCGGTAGTAATGGTTTGTTTACTTCCACGATTGTGCATGGTCATGGCGCTAATTCATGTGTCACGTTAGAAAATGTCCGATTTATGAAATATTTATGACTTGTTTTGCAGCTAAGAATGGGTGTATGTGCTATAGACTGTGGTAGGGTTATGACTTTGAGTTGTAAACCATGGTCGGTCCCTAGTTGTATACTCTGGGTCGGAACCCTATATTTGTACACCGAGGGCCGGAGCCCTAGTTGTACACTACGGGTCGAAACCCTATATTTGTGCACCAAGGTCGGGGCCCTAGTTGTACAACATAGGTCGGAACCTTATATATGTACACCAAGGGCCGGGACCCTAGTTGTAAAACATAGGTCGGAACCCTATATGTGTACACCAAGGGCCGGGGCCCTAGTTGTAAAACATAGGTCGGAACCCTATATTTCTACACCGAGGGCCGGGGCCCTAGTTGTTAACCATAGGTCGGAACACTATATTTCTACACCCGGGGCCCTAGAACCCTATATGTGTAACCAACAAAGGTCGGAACCCTATATTTCTACACCAAGGGTCGGGGCCCTAGTTGTAAAACAAAGGTCGGAACCCTATTTTTCTACACCAAGGGTCGGGGCCCTAGTTGTAAAACATAGGTCGGAACCCTATATTTCTACACCAAGGGTCGGGGCCGTAGTTGTTAACCATAGGTCGGAATCCTATATGTGTACACCATGGGCCGGGGCCCTAGTTGTTAACCACAGGTCGGAACCCTATATGTGTACACCATGGGTGGGGCCCTAGTCGTAAAACATAGGTCGGAACCCTACATTTGTGCACCAAGGGCCGGGGCCCTAGTTGTAAAACATAGGTCGGAACCCTACATTTGTGCACCAAGGGCCGGGGCTTTAGTTGTACACTACGGGTCGAACCCCTATATTTGTACACTATTTTCCGGAGCCATATTAACTTTGTGCAAAACCGAAAAAGTCACGAGAGTTTAGTTTTTCAGATCACAAGGTACGTGACGTCATTTTGGCGCCTTTTTGTCCTATCTTAACCGAATGTTTTGCGCGTCGCTTCAAATGGCACAAAATAAACAGAAAAACACACAATAACTTGATAAAATAGTTCACGGGATAACAATTTTAAAAAAATATCTGAAATGTAAACATACCAATTGAATCGTTGTCATATTTCGTCTGTTGTTAATATGTATGCAATTTGAGTGACAGATCAATAATCTTGCGATCCAACATCATATAGATAAACTTAACACCATGACGACGGTTTAGTTTTGATAACGATATGACAACGCCACCAACAGAACATGTATCAAGATTTGAAAACACCATAAAAAAGAAGTGGTTCAACGATCTGCAACCCGCCGACAGAACTTATATCACGATGACACACCGCCGACAGAGCATGTACAACGATGACACACCGCCGACAGAGCATGTACAACGATGACCCATCGCCGACAGAACTTATATAACGATGACGCACCGCCGACAGAGCATGTACAACGATGACCCATCGCCGACAGAGCATAAACAACGATGACCCATCGCCGACAGAACTTATATAACGATGACACACCGCCGACAGAGCATGTACAACGATGACACACCGCCACCACAACTTATATAACGATGACCCACCGCCGACAGATCATGTACAACGATGACCCATCGCCGACAGAACTTATATAACGATGACACACCGCCGACAGAGCATGTACAACGATGACACATCGCCGACAGAGCATGTACAACGATGACCCATCGCCGACAGAACTTATATAACGATGACACACCGCCGACAGGGCATGTACAACGATGACACACCGCCACCACAACTTATATAACGATGACACACCGCCGACAGATCATGTACAACGATGACCCATCGCCGACAGAACTTATATAACGATGACACACCGCCGACAGGGCATGTACAACGATGACACACCGCCACCACAACTTATATAACGATGACACACCGCCGACAGGGCATGTACAACGATGACACACAGCCGACAGAGCATGTACAACGATGACACATCGCCGACAGAACTTATATAACGATGACGCACCGCCGACAGAGCATAAACAACGATGACACACCGCCGACAGAGCATGTACAACGATGACACATCGCCGACAGAGCATGTACACAATGACGTATCGCCACCAGAACTTATACAACTATGACACACTTCCGATATAAGACACACCGCCGACATGACTGTTATTACGATCTGATAACGCCGACGACAGGACTGTTATTACGATGTGCTAACGCCGACGACAGGACTGTTATTACAATGTGCTAACGCCGACGACAGGACTGTTATTACAATGTGATAACGCCGACGACAGGACTGTTATAACGATGTGCTAACGCCGACGACAGGACTGTTATTACGATGTGCTAACGCCGACGACAGGACTGTTATTACAATGTGCTAACGCCGACGACAGGACTGTTATTACAATGTGATAACGCCGCCGATAGGACTGTTATTACAATGTGATAACGCCGACGACAAGACTGTTATAACGATGTGCTAACGCCGACGACAGGACTGTTATTAAGATCTGATAACGCCGCCGACATGACTTTATAACGATGTGATAACGCCGCCGACAGGACTGTTATTACGATGTGATAACGCCGCCGACAGGACTGTTATTACGATGTGATAACGCCACCGACAGGACTGTTATTAAGATCTGATAACGCCGCCGACAGGACTGTTATTAAGATCTGATAACGCCGCCGACAGGACTGTTATTACGATGTGATAACGCCACCGACAGGACTGTTATTAAGATCTGATAACGCCACCGACAGGACTGTTATTACGATGTGATAACGCCACCGACAGGACTGTTATTAAGATCTGATAACGCCGCCGACAGGACTGTTATTACGATCTGATAACGCCACCGACAGGACTGACAGCCACCGACAGGACTGTTATTAAGATCTGATAACGCCGCCGACAGGACTGTTATTACGATGTGATAACGCCACCGACATGACTTTATAACGATGTGCTTACGCCGACGACAGGACTGTTATTACAATGTGATAACGCCGCTGACAGGACTGTTATTACGATGTGATAACGCCGCCGACAGGACTGTTATTACGATGTGACAACACCGCCGACAGGACTGTTATTAAGATCTGATAACGCCGCCGACAGGACTGTTATTACGATGTGATAACGCCACCGACAGGACTGTTATTACAATGTGATAACGCCGCTGACAGGACTGTTATTACGATGTGATAAGCCGCCTACAGGACTGTTATTACGATGTGAAAACGCCACCGACAGGACTGTTATTACGATGTGCTAACGCCGACGACAAGACTGTTATAACGATGTGATAACGCCGCTGACAGGACTGTTATTACGATGTGATAACGCCGCCGATAGGACTGTTATTACGATGTGATAACGCCGACAAGACTGTTATAACGATGTGATAACGCCACCGACAGGACTGTTATTACGATGTGCTAACGCCGACGACAAGACTGTTATAACGATGTGATAACGCCGACGACAAGACTGTTATAACGATGTGATAACGCCGCCGATAGGACTGTTATTACGATGTGATAACGCCGCCGATAGGACTGTTATTAAGATCTGATAACGCCGCCGATAGGACTGTTAGTACGATGTGATAACGCCGCCGATAGGACTGTTATTAAGATCTGATAACGCCGCCGATAGGACTGTTAGTACGATGTGATAACGCCGCCGATAGGACTGTTAGTACGATGTGATAACGCCACCGATAGGACTGTTAGTACGATGTGATAACGCCGCCGACCTGACTGTTATTACGTTATTATTGTTGATGCAATCACATCAGTTACCTGCCTATCGTCCTGGAGTAATGCTGCACCTCAGGATTACAGCAACCTGATACAAAATTGTATTATATACATGTATGATCTGAAAGACAGCAATCATTTAAATATATACGAGATATAATTACGTCTCCTTCTTGTGTACATACACCTCGGAGAATAATGGAGCCGCCCTCAGCCAAAAATAGTGGTACTCCAACACTAATGTAGGCTATAATGAAACTATATGAAGCCTATCGGGTGGTGTTAGACGACCTTATGACTAAACAGTGGAGTTTTAAACTTCTTATTCTAGTAATTCGGGTGGAATAATTTATTATGTAACCCTAGCATGATTCAGCAAAAATTTAAACGGTGTACCAATGTATTATAACTAGGGTTTTATACGGGATATTTGACCCGGTACTTAGCATTAAATGTCTGTTATATTCTGTATGTATATAAATGAATATCAGAGAGTCCTAAGGTCTCATTATAAAATTACTATTTGAACAAGGAAGGTGATCTCTGATAAAAGCACCATTCTATTGGTGAGCGACACGACGTTCTGTTAAAGCTATGACGATGCACTTTTTTTCTCTGATTAACTATTATCATTGTAAATAAAAGATGATGTCATATTTAGCACTGTGACTTTTACAACAATAGTGGCATTAGAATAACCAGCCGAGGTTTATAAGCACATTAGTTTGTGAACAGTAGAGTACACAACAATACGTCTGCAATGCCTTTCACTTTCTCTCTAATTTGAATTACTTGTTCGTCTTCTGTGCTATCAGCGTTTTTCTATACATACTTGATTGATAGAGAAGAATGATTAACCACCAAACGGACAGATCACCGTCAGACACAAATACTGTAGACAGAACCAAGCCAGTCGGACAGACATTCCATCAACTGATACAACATAGCTACGCAGAACGACTCCTCCGAGTTAGAAATAGTTCATTATACAAGAAAAAGTTATATAAAATCGTTAACCCTCCAGAGAACATTATATGAAATCGTTAACCATCCAGGGAACATTATATAAAGTTGTTAACCCTACAAGAACCATTCCTTCAAGGAACATATTATTAAAAATATCTCTCCGGGAAATCGTTTGTAAAAATTATTAACCTTACGGACCCGATCCCACAGGGAATTTTTTCTTTTTTTTTTAAATAAGGTTTAAAGAAACCCTTTATAAAATTGTTAAACCTTCAAGAAACAATACTGCGGGAACTATGTTTAAAAAATGACCTCAAAAGAAATCTGTTTATGAAATTGTCAACCATGCATTGACCAATCCTACAGTTGAAAATATCTTTTAAAAATATCGTTACAGGATTTTTTTTTATAAAATCGTTGCACCTTACGGAGCCAATCCTACAGAACAAATTTGTAAAGAATAACTCTATTGAAAACTTATTTTATATAAAATCGGATTGTATCTTTTAAAACAACACTTCATGGACCATTTTATAATACAATTGTTTCTGATATATAACCTTACAGGAACATTTCTTATGTTTACCTTCAAGAAATGAAAAACTTCAGGAAACATTTCATAGAGAAGATACCTTTACGGGAAGTGATTTTTTTCTGATATCCCTTACTGGGAACATTTCATGAAGAAGGCAAAATAGTAGCTATGTCTTTTGTTAAATTAAAACGGAAAAAAGAAAAACAAAACAAACAAATAAAACCCAAAAGATATAAATAGAACAGAAATAATAGGCAACCCTACATTTTTTGTATGATCTTTTAGAATAAACTTACAAGAATTATTATATAAAATAGAAAACCCGGCAGAAATTGTTTTATGGTCAGAAACCTTAGAGAAATTATCTTATAAAGCAGGTGAACTATAGGATATGAAGGTGTCCGTGTGTTTGCGGAATGTTGTATACAATCCTTTATTGTGTAGTTACATGTATGTAGAAGTGTCCACCAGCCTAGTTTAACTCTCTCACGCGCGACTGCATATTACATTAGAATTCCCATCAGTATGGCGGGTGGTCAGGTGCACGTACCATTTGATACCAAGCTGTACCAAACCAAAAAACACGGACCTACTGACAGTGACGAGGCAGATTTTCTAATTCAATCATATGGTTAGAAGTCGCGTATGACATCGCACGCAAGTACCGAAACTCACGTGGTAGCCCTAGTACCGTCACTGGGTGGTCACTGAACTGAAAGTTTAATGCTTTGTAAATGTATCTCGATTCGTATCAGCATATTGTGTAAATCCTATATATATGACAATGGTACATAGGGGTACAGATTTACTCGTGTGTAAGTGTATAGAAATAACGCAGAACTCCTAATACGTTCACCATAGTCATCAAAACGACAGGTAATATATAGTAACACCTACCGATTTAATTCATTTAAATATTGTCAAGGTTCAGGTAATACACATGTACTTTTGAAATGATCAGGTATATAGAAATTGGAAAAAAGTTATTGAGTTATGGGGTTGGTGCAGTCCCCCATCTAGAATCTGACATCTTTTATGATCGATCTTGGTTTTGCCTGAGAGGCCTCCTAGGGTTGGCTCTTAACACCTATGACTGGCGATTTGCAGAACGACAAAACAGCAGTATAATCCATGTTACTGTGTATTGAAAGCGCTGATAAATATTTTTTAAATCCTTCGTAGGCTTTTTACTACGTGATACGAAACGAAACAATGATTAATATCCGGAGCATGATGATAACATTTGTTGTCAATTTTCTTTTCATTTGAATTATTACGTTAAATAATCAAACATCTTAAATATCTTTTTTTTAAAATTCTTGGTCCGTGAGAATAAAAGGTAGCCTATCGTACCCATCACTAAGCTACCGAGACATCCGTGTTATCGTACACCTCCCCCCTCCTCCCCTCTCCTCCCCCCCCGGACCATGACTTAGGTATAAAGATGCCGCGTAATGGTAATTATTCTGATGTTACGTGTTATCTAACTACCATGAAATTAGATATTCACTTCGACAAGCCCCTGTAAAAATGTGTGTTGAAAAATCATCCGCTGTATTTATGGGACGCGAGACGGTAACATTTTCTCTTTCGCTGCTTCCTAGGTTGGGTGACTCAGCAAGTTTGTGGACGTTTACGGAATACAAACATGACTATAAGTAGGGACTACTATGACTCTTCAGTATTTCACGGGCTGTATTACATATCAGTGTTCTGAACAGTCAATACATCCCCAGGTGTTAAGTCAATATACATCTGTATCACATACAGCGTTATCGCAGCCGGAAAAGTCATAGACGGATGCAGGAGACTGTAAAAGATAAACATACCATATATAAGTTTGTGATTTACAAGCACCTTACATTTGGAATGCTATCTATTTTAAAGATGCATTTTGTGAGCAATTATAAATGAGAATTGTATTAAGCATATAAAATATTATCACATAAAACATCAACGATAAGAAAAAATTACATTTACACGTATTGTTAAAGAAATATGAAATATTTCAGTACAACCTATCTAATCCTGGTTAGTAATTAAATGTGTAAGTCTGTATTTAGCATGACTCGGCAAAGTGAGTCACCCGCATAGTTACAGATCCTTTATACTATTTAAGTATGATAATTACTCGGGCACGACAAAGTTGACGATATCTTCAACAGGACGTCATTTCAATTCGACAATTTAAAAATGTCTCTATGCATTTTATTACTAGTTTGTAGTTAACAAAGAAATTTGAAGGCAGGCAGAAAATACAGAATTGAACGTAGAAATATATTCGATACTAACTTAGAACCCAGAAAGCGGCAGTCGAACCTGATAAATATTTATGTAGTGGTGTGCGGTGGGCCTCTAGTATTGCCAGCCCACGAGTAATTTTCGTTTTACTCAGTCTCCTCAATCTTAATAACTGTTTAATAACTGAAAGCACAAACTATTTTCTTCCCATCGGACAGAAGTATCGACACTTCCGATGAAGGTAAGATATCAGTGAACCGCTTGCACGCACAGAACATAAAAACGTATTCTGAGTATATCTCATTATTGTTGTTTACAGACGTCAACGGAAAGAAGCGAATTAATCAGTTCGGGGATTATGATGACACGTCAAACATGACGTGTACGCATTGGAATGACAGATGGCGGAAAGGACAAACACAATTTCATATGCCAAAAGTTCATCCGTACGTGCTTCCCTTTTCTCTCTGGCTGTACATAAAGTAAAAATTAACACGGTAGTTTGCTAACGTTTTCAAGGCCAGTGGCCATCTCCAGACGATTTTAAATTCATATATGCATTGTATTATAACAACGTTTCATAAATGTTGTAGTTTAGTTGTCAATGACGTATAATATCAGTATAGAAACACCACAGTTTTATAGAATCATGCGATAACTGTATGAAGTATATGATACAGTTTGATGTAACTGATAGGTTTTATTTCTATATAAGTTTAAGTAGGTATAGTAAATATCTAAATGATATAATCATACGCTTTATAGTTCTTGATTCGTATAATTTTCGCGGTTCTATCAAAAGCTTGAAGCAAAAAAAAGGTGTACTTTTCGAGAAAGTGATAAACCAAACAGTGGCTTTATCAATGAAATATTGGTTATCAGTTTGACATTTTTTCGCCTTGATATTCAATCATCGTAAATATATTTATTTATTTATTTATATTTGAAAATTGAAAATAATAATATTTACAATCAGTACAAGCCAGTATGTTGCTTCATAAACAAACCTTGATATTACGATATCGATGAGTTTTATTTCAAATTGCTATCATACTTTTAATACGTTTCGCCTTCCACACATGATAGATTACATAATTATCATATCGCCTGTTTGTTGTATGTGTTGACCCCCAATTTCGTTAATCATTGACATTTCAGGATGTTGATAAAACATATCGACCGATTGACAGATGGAAAAACTAACCTTCGTTTTTTCGTACCGTTATGCGGTAAAACTATGGATTTAAATTGGTAAGAATATTGACAATTTTTTATAATTCCCAACGATTAAACGTTATCATTTCTTAGAAAATATTTGCAGGTTTCAATACATATATCTAGTCAAATGGCCTGATTTTTGCAACAAAAATACAGAACCATGCCCTTATTTCAAAATGTATTTATATATACATATTTGTATAATGTGGTAAATTGTTACATCGGCTGGTCGTAGAAATTTCCAGCACCAACACTCAATTCTTAAAAATATGCATATGGAATAGATCAAATGTTTTTTATCTTCCACTGCCCTTTCAATGCATATATAAAAACCACATCAAATTATTCATTGCAGGTTGCTTGAGCGGGGGCATGAAGTCGTTGGTTGTGACTGTTCCGAAGAGGGATGCAAAGAAATCTTCAAACGACATAATATATCTTACAAGACCGAATATAAAGCCAACGTCCGCAGCACAGTACTCCAGGTATTCTTAAAACATGTTTGTTCTGACACTTTTACTACCTTTAGATAGATGTCTTCATAATGTTATCGTGACTCTCCAGATCTGAAGTATAATTTGATTTTTTGTGTGTAAAAGGTTTTAGGAACACGTTAAACTACATGGTTTGTGTAAAAGGTTTTAGGAACACGTTAAACTACATGGTTTGTGTAAAGGGTTTAGGAACACGTTAAACTACAGGGTTTGTGTAAAGGGTTTAGGAACACGTTAAACTACAGGGTTTGTGTAAAGGGTTTAGGAACACGTTACACTACATGGTTTATGTAAAGGGTTTAGGATCACGTTACACTACATGGTTTGTGTAAAGGGTTTAGGAACACGTTACACTACATGGTTTGTGTAAAGGGTTTAGGAACACGTTACACTACATGGTTTGTGTAAAGGGTTTAGGAACACGTTACACTACATGGTTTGTGTAAAGGGTTTAGGAACACGTTACACTACATGGTTTATGTAAAGGGTTTAGGAACACGTTACACTACATGGTTTATGTAAAGGGTTTAGGAACACGTTACACTACATGGTTTGTGTAAAGGGTTTTAGGAACACGTTACACTACATGTTTTGTGTAAAGGGTTTTAGGAACACGTTACACTACATGGTTTGTGTAAAGGGTTTTAGGAACACGTTACACTACATGGTTTGTGTAAAGGGTTTAGGAACACGTTACACTACATGTTTTGTGTAAAGGGTTTATGAACACGTTACACTACATGGTTTGTGTAAAGGGTTTAGGAACACGTTACACTTCATGGTTTGTGTAAAGGGTTTAGGAACACGTTACACTACATGGTTTATGTAAAGGGTTTAGGAACACGTTACACTACATGGTTTGTGTAAAAGGGTTTAGGAACACGTTAAACTACATGGTTTGTGTAAAAGGGATTAGGAACACGTTACACTACATGGTTTGTGTAAAAGGGATTAGGAACACGTTACACTACATGGTTTGTGTAAAAGGGTTTAGGAACACGTTAAACTACATGGTTTGTGTAAAGGGTTTAGGAACACGTTAAACTACATGGTTTGTGTAAAAGGGTTTTAGGAACACGTTACACTACATGGTTTGTGTAAAGGGTTTAGGAACACGTTACTTACACTACATGGTTTATGTAAAGGGTTTGAGAACACGTTACACTACATGGTTTGTGTAAAAGGGTTTAGGAACACGTTAAACTACATGGTTTGTGTAAAAGGAATTAGGAACACGTTACACTACATGGTTTGTGTAAAAGGGATTAGGAACACGTTAAACTACATGGTTTGTGTAAAAGGGTTTAGGAACACGTTAAACTACATGGTTTGTGTAAAAGGGTTTAGGAACACGTTAAACTACATGGTTTGTGTAAAAGGGTTTTAGGAACACGTTACACTACATGGTTTGTGTAAAAGGGATTAGGAACACCTTAAACAACTACATGGTTTGTGTAAAAGGGTTTAGGAACACGTTAAACTACATGGTTTGTGTAAAAGGGTTTTAGGAACACGTTACACTACATGGTTTGTGTAAAAGGGATTAGGAACACGTTACACTACATGGTTTGTGTAAAAGGGTTTAGCAACACGTTAAACTACATGGTTTGTGTAAAAGGGTTTAGGAACACGTTAAACTACATGGTTTGTGTAAAAGGGTTTTAGGAACACGTTACACTACATGGTTTGTGTAAAGGGTTTAGGAACACGTTACTTACACTACATCGTTTATGTAAAGGGTTTAAGAACACGTTACACTACATGGTTTGTGTAAAAGGGTTTAGGAACACGTTAAACTACATGGTTTGTGTAAAAGGGTTTAGGAACACGTTAAACTACATGGTTTGTGTAAAAGGGTTTTAGGAACACGTTACACTACATGGTTTGTGTAAAGGGTTTAGGAAGACGTTACACTACATGGTTTGTGTAAAGGGTGAACACGTTACACTACATGGTTTGTGTAAAGGGTTTAGGATCACGTTACACTACATGGTTTGTGTAAAGGGTTTAGGAAGACGTTACACTACATGGTTTGTGTAAAGGGTGAACACGTTACACTACATGGTTTGTGTAAAGGGTTTAGGAAGACGTTACACTACATGGTTTGTGTAAAGGGTGAACACGTTACACTACATGGTTTGTGTAAAGGGTGAACACGTTAAACTACATGGTTTGTGTAAAGTATTTAGGAACACGTTACACTACATGATTTGTGTAAAGGGTATAGGAACACGTTAAACTACATGGTTTGTGTAAAGTATTTAGGAACACGTTACACTACATGGTTTGTGTAAAGTATTTAGGAACACGTTACTTACACTACATGGTTTATGTAAAGGGTTTAAGAACACGTTACACTACATGTGTTTGTGTACATGGTTTGTGTAAAAGGGTTTAGGAACACGTTAAACTACATGGTTTGTGTAAAGGGTTTAGGAACACGTTACACTACATGGTTTGTGTAAAGTATTTAGGAACACGTTACACTACATGGTTTGTGTAAAGGGTTTAGGAACACGTTAAACTACATGGTTTGTGTAAAAGGGTTTTAGGAACACGTTAAACTACATGGTTTGTGTAAAGGGTTTAGGAACACGTTAAACTACATGGTTTGTGTAAAGGGTTTAGGAACACGTTAAACTACATGGTTTGTGTAAAGGGTTTAGGAACACGTTAAACTACATGGTTTGTGTAAAGGGTTTAGGAACACGTTGAACTAAATGGTTTGTGTAAAAGGTTTAGGAACACGTTGGGTTTAATTTTGTAATTATGAGAAGGTATTTAGTAAACTTTGATCGTAATTCACCATTGCTATCCTTATATCTATGATAGACATCACATGGCCTAGAATGCACCGTATTTTTCTATATCACCTTTTACGTTATATATCCATTCATGTATATGTTTCTCTATTTAATCGTGATCAAGTATGCTATAAATACACATTCAGATTAAGTGGGTATCTTTTGTGATATCTCCGTCGCCCATTAAAATGTACTGTAAAACATGAAATACCTGACTACTTACCAATCTGTTATCATAGAAAGCCGCCGTTCCCTTTGTACTGTTGTTTAAGTCTCACGAACAAAGCTATGCAGTTCGACATTAGCGTTCTTTTCATTGGAGAGATTGTAAATCTTAATTGAACATAATTACTAACCTTTGTCTTCCTTGTGAAGTAGATCGGTTGTCACTTAATCACAACATACCTTGGACTATAACTGTGAATTTACATAAGAAAATTCAAGTCGTAAATTATAACTGCCATGTCATTCAGTTTCTGCATTAATTAAGTAAAGATTATTCATACACGTAAAGCGTCGTTATCATCGACATTTTTCCAATACGAAAACGGAAATCTTGCAATGTTCATTTAAAATTTTATCGTACGTGTCACAAACTTTCAAGATTATTTTCTATATAAAACAAAAAAAAAATCATCCTCGCTTCTACCGAAATAAATTCATTTTGCGTCTAAACTGATCCTTCATTTTCCTTTTGTTCCGTTAGGGGACCGACAAGAAGCTCTCTCTTTATGTAGGAGATTATTTTGACCTCCAAAGGTTGGTATGCCATAATTACATTGATACCGGGCCTAAACAATACTAGACTATATATGGCTGAGTCATTTTCGTACATTTTTTTATAAAATATTCCTTTATAATTTAAGATTCCGATAATCGGTTATTGCATGTAGTGTTTTATAATTGAATATTTAAACTTACTTTTAATTTTTTTTACACCAAATAGCTACATTGTACTCAAGACAAAAATATATATGAAGATATTTTTTTTCTGGTGAAGGTGACAATTCCTAGTAAACGAAAGGTCACAAATGTTTTTCTGTAAGAAAATTGTTTCGTGTATTTATCTATTAAAACGAGTTATGTTACCTGACGAAATAAGAAGTAGTTATGTTACCTGGCGAAGTAAGAAATCATTATTTTACCTGGCGAAGTAAGAAGTAGTTATGTTACCTGACGAAGTAAGAAGTAGTTATGTTACCTGACGAAGTAAGAAGTAGTTATGTTACCTGACGAAGTAAGAAGTAGTTATGTTACCTGGCGAAGTAAGAATAGTTATGTTACATGGCGAAGTAAGAAGTAGTTATGTTACCTGGCGAAGTAAGAAGTAGTTATGTTACCTGACGAAGTAAGAAGTAGTTATGTTACCTGGCGAAGTAAGAAGTAGTTATGTTACCTGACGAAGTAAGAAGTAGTTATGTTACCTGGCGAAGTAAGAAGTAGTTATGTTACCTGGCGAAGTAAGAAGTAGTTATGTTACCTGACGAAGTAAGAAGTAGTTATGTTACCTGACGAAATAAGAAGTAGTTATGTTACCTGGCGAAGTAAGAAGTAGTTATGTTACCTGACGAAGTAAGAAGTAGTTATGTTACCTGACGAAGTAAGAAGTAGTTATGTTACCTGACGAAGTAAGAAGTAGTTATGTTACCTGACGAAGTAAGAAGTAGTTATGTTACCTGGCGAAGTAAGAAGTAGTTATGTTACCTGACGAAGTAAGAAGTAGTTATGTTACCTGGCGAAGTAAGAAGTAGTTATGTTACCTGACGAAGTATTTATGAAGAAATAGTTTTTTACCTAAAAAAGTTATGTTACCTGACGAAGTAAGATAGAATTTATTTACCTGGCGAAGTAAGAAGTAGGAATGTTACCTGACGAAGTAAGAAGTAGTTATTTCCCTTCACAGGACCCCCATTTGACTGCCAACAGAACCAAGTAGAGGAGTACTTTGGTAAGGAATATTTTACCGTTAAGAGTAAGAAGTAGTTATGTTACCTACGCACACAAACGCCACATGTGCGTAAATGTTCTACAGAAAAAAACCAGCTTCGATATATATACACTTGATTCATACTTTCGAAATGGATAGCCACGAGAAAAAAGAACTGATAAAACAGAATTCGGGTTTTTAATATGGGTAATCTATTTTTTGTAAAATTAAGCAAAAGTAAGCATTTTTTGTATCAGACATGTAAGTACTTACCCTGTGATAAGACGAAAGCTGTTACGTCCTGTAAAAGGGATTACCGTTGTAATTGTGCTTTCCTTCATTCTTAGTGGCATTTATTAGTGGCCACCCCTATAAACAACCTAGGCAACCTCCTCGGAATTTCTTGTAAACTCTAACACAAAAGATTGAAAAAATAATACTTATAATGAAAAAAAAATACACCAGGTATAATACTGAACCTGTTATATGTAAAATATGAAAACACAGAAAATACAGAAGTGTCTTTCGGACTTTAAAGTTTAAATCCCTTACCTCATTCTTAGTTTTCAACAATATGAAACCTGTTTACAAGTATATGTGTGCATGCCTCATTAGAATATTCCGGGGAGTTATTCTAAGCCACTAAACCATCTTCACAATCGACATTTTGTCTTATCTGCTGTGAATCTCTGGAGAATTTTAACTGTGTAGACATGTCATAAAAAACTTATAACATGTGCTTTTTCTAAAACCACGCTACTTATATTTGTGTTTCTGTCTAGATGACATGTTGTAAAAAATAAAATAATTTTCAAAAACCTAAAAATGTTGGTACTTCATAACAAAACAGGAAATTGCCGGTATACGTATTCTACATGTGAAGAAACGACCATGATTGTAATTTTAGGGTACCGGTATCCCTTTTGAAACGTCCATGTTTTTGTTAAATGCTCGGCAGTTTGAATGCCTCGATGTCGATGATATTTGATATCTGGTGTGTGATGACTACGTATTCCTTACACAGATGGCCATTTTTCAATTAATAAATACCAGCCTATAATTTTGCTAACATAAAAAGATTATGAAGGATAATCGAAACATGTTGTACGTGTTTTACATTTATGTCTTTTTTTTTCGTTGAATCAGAATTTGTTAATGACCTATTCGCCTCTATTATTACGTTCTGTAATTACTCTATAATATCAAAATTTATTAAAAGACGAAATGTTGTCTGGAACACAAAACGATCATCTGTTTTATAAATTGATTCAACAATTTCACGTCTGCTTCCTTTGACCTTTGCCCTCTTCATGACGGGCGCTGATTGGTTCAGTCATCATGACCTAACGCTACACTTTATTTCTGAGTAAGATTATTCCTTTATTGAAAGCCCACTGACGGGTTAAAGATAATATATTCCTTTGACCCTCGAATCTTTCTCCAACTCCATGTAAATAGTTGGTTGCATGACGTCCTCCATAGTTAAACATTATTTAACCGGAAATCATTAACCCGTTGTCCTTATATGGGTATAAATTATTGTACAAAAAGACACAAGTGTTTAGGTCGTCCTTCTAGGACTTGTCAGTGATGATTAGGGCCTAAATTTTGAAGCCTAGGAGGCGACAAAGTAAAACCCAAAGTGGTCGTAAGAAAAGTAAAAAATATCATTGTTCACTTTATAGGACGGAACAAATGTTGGTCAAAAATGAATGACTTTATAGAACTTAAAACGTTAACAATTATAAATGTTTTATATGTTTCTCTCACAGCCAAAAAATACCTCTATTAAAAAAAAATCAGCCTAACATACATTTATATATCACAAAGATATGTATACAATTCATAATTTCTGCAATTTACAAATATTTTAAAATTTGTTTTTAATAACAAATTTATAAAATGAATCGTAAATTTAGCTAAAAGTCGATAGTAGGACAAAATTATGGACAAAGAATAATTTGCTACGTCATCATTTAAAAAGTCCAGGTAAAATAAGACAGGGTGTTTAAGTAGAGAACGTCACTCCAGCTTACACATAAACGACAGCTGTGATAAAGATTTGCGTGTTGTCACGTACTTAAAATGAGACCCCGTAAAATTGTCATTCTAACAAGCATCGAACATTTCCAACTTCAATATCACATAAGATATGGGATTCGTGTTGTTGAAGTGGTTTTTGTTACCAGTTCAAGCACTGAAAAAAACCCCAAACAAACAAACAAACAACATATATCTCCCATTCTTATCCAAATGGTCTACATAATGATCTTGCCACCTACCGCAAAGAAGATTTTAAAAAATTAAAGTATTCTCACAAACTCACCCACAGGAACAAACGTCTCGTAGCGTGACAAAGAGAATGACAACGTTCCTTGTATGATCTGGTACTAAAAATTGATTTCTAATTTAAAAAAAAAAATACATTCTTCTTTTGGAGTTCACAAAATTATGAATATAATCTTGATTCTTGTGATGTTTTGTGATCCAATAAAAACAAGGAATGTCCACACATTATTGAAAGTTTGTAGGCAACTGTTAGCATCTGATAATCCCTGTTATATCCCCTAAATTACTTTTTATGTATTCATTCAAACTTGAACAGTTGAAAAATTTTAACCTACCCGTCTTTAAATCCTAAAGTATTTTCCATCGGTAAATTACTGAGAAATGACCGCTGTGTCATGCTTTGTGTAATTTAAGGATACAGGGGAGTTAAAAAGTAAAACGATACGTGTTTGAAACTGCAGAAATGTATAGTTTTAAGAAGTGGATACGATTTTTTTGTTGTTGAACAGGACGAAAAACAGATGCCAGATTGATCTGGACAGTGTATAGTGGGACATCTTTGACACTGTATGTTCAGGGCCTGGGTGTGTTACACAGACATAAGGGTAAACGACTGTCTCAATTAACATCACCAAGTCAATCAAGGAACCAGTCGTACAGAATGAAATCATCGTCAGTGTTCATATCATCATTGCTTCTGAAATAGCAAAACACGTGCACATGAATACTGCGCGTCTGTCCATTAGGGGCGGGTATTTAGATAACACATCCTCTGTTTAAAAAGTCTTTTGCTCTTCGTTTAAATTAAATTAAGTAGAACTAATTCTAACAGCTTGGGGACAGTAAACTTGCTTCCTCCGACTTGCTATACATTGTATTCACATACTTGATGCACGTGCACACACGTGCATTTGGCCTATGCCTACAATCGTCTTTATTAGAAAGTGTAATACTGTGGAAATGAACATCACACCAGGCACGTGTGTTTTGCCGCCAACATGTCATTTTATGTTAAAGTCTTTTTTGCTCTAAGAAAAAAAAAATAAATCGCATTATTTTCATTGGAACCGGTTACAGTAAACCTTATGTTGAACAAGCAAACACATAATCACACGTACGGTAGTGTACATGTGAATAAATATCACACAGTTCGCCTTAATTGTCCTTCGATAATCCAAATAAAATTTTAAATTAAATTTTTGGTTTTTAATTATTATTTTTTTTGCACCTACATCACTTTATCATCAGCACGTCAAATCCTAGCCTTACGAAACCAGAATCCTGAAAGAGAAAAAAAAATTTATTACGATATTCAATTTCTTATGGTCTATTCATTGTGATTTTTGAAGTTTGTTTAAAAAGTTTCCTAGAGGCACGTATTATCCAAGCTTTCTTAAAAATATTTTTATAGCAGATCAGTTGTTTACACTTGACAAATTATTTCAGGGCATCTCACTATTAAAAATGCAAATGATTTCTTTTAAGATAAATCTTAGTAATTTGTATTGTTTTAAAACCTGTTTGTTAAACGGTATAAATAAAA